CACGCGTTGCAGATCCCAGGAAGGAACCCAGGAGGCAGGTGCCGCTTTGGTCCTGGCGCTTCTGGTGCTTCTGCCCCATTTTCCTTCATTTGTGTCCTCCTGCGTGAAGTGGCTGGCCGTGACTTTGCTGTGCCTCGCCGTGGGCTTTTGCAGTTTCCAGTAGTTCATTTTATTCAGCTGTTATGAGAGACTTTTCTAGGGTTCTACCTCCCTGCGCGGTGTCTTCTGCCCCTGCTCACCCGTGAGAAGGGCTGACATGCTTCTAGGTCACGCAGATGCATCAGGCCCACCGGTGTCGTTCCACCTGACTCTGAACACCAACACGTGTGTGGACCACTAATTACTGGGGATATTTTGCTGGGTCCAGTGTTTCCTTCCCTTCTTTGGCCTCACCGCTCTCTCAGTCGGTTCCCAGGGTGTTTGTATTAGGTTTGATAACAGAGTTATTTACCCCAGGGCTGAGGAGCAGCTGTGTAGCAATCCCTGCACGCTCTGGTCCGTGTGGGGTTTGCTTTTTACCAAGCAGCCCTCCCTTTGCAGTGACTGTCCAAACCTCCATAAACACATGAGATTCTCTTGGATCTTCCTTGAAAAAATCTTGCCCAAATTGCTTCTGGATCAGGTGTTTACAAGAGTAATTACCAAAATGAAAAAAAAGGCTGTAATGCACCCCCCAAAATTCTCTGTTTTGAGGGGAGAAATTCTAATCCTGCATATATTCAGGACGGCACACAGAATTTGTATGGCAGTTAGCCTGTCATTAGTGTTTTGTTTTCCCAGCAGTGACAGTGGGAGCTGCTTGGGCTCACGGGCCTGGCAGGTAACCTCGACACCGCTGCTCGGCTGCAGTCGTTTGTTCTTGCCGCTCTCGAGACTTCAGCTGAACCCATCATTTTGGTGGCTCTGCAAAGATGCCTGCTGCAGAGCGGCCCCCCTGTGCTGTAATGTAAATGTTAGCCATATGGCAAGGATTAATGCAAATAACGAGGAGAACTGTTGGCATTCTGACACACAAACAAGGGAAAAGAAGAGGTGTTTTTCCACTGAACGCCGCATGAGTGAGGCTGGTACCGGAATGACTGTCCTGCCAGCCCTTTGGAGCAGGTGCAGGGAGCTGTGGGGCAGGCGATACCAGCAACGCTTCATGCCCAAGAGTAGGAGAGGCCAAGCCCGATTTTTAGTTTTTATTTTGTGAGAATCACCAAAGCAAGAGGGCGACGTGCCCTTGGCCAGAACTGCAGCATCTGCTCTCAGCGTTTTACCGCGCTGGTGCTGCAGTGCCAGCGGGGTAGAACGGTGTTTGGGTGGTGGTTGTAGCCGGTGGGTTTTGGGAGGTGTTCCCGGAGCTGGTGGCCGCGCGGGTGCGGGACGGACGCCCGGAGAGGTGCCCGTGTGGAGCGGGGCCGGAGCAGGACCGGCCTGGGCCGTGCGCGCCGGGTCGGGCCGCTCTGGGGAGCAGAAGGGGCTGCTCCTGGGGCACTTACCTCCTCGGCACCTGCCTGGCACTGGAGCAGGGTGCGGAGGCCGGGGGTGCGGGTCCATCCGGCTCCGCGGGGCTGGCTGCTCTTACACACGTTGCAAATCCCAGGAAGGAACCCAGGAGGCAGGTGCCGCTTTGGTCCTGGCGCTTCTGGTGCTTCTGCCCCATTTTCTTTCATCTGTGTCCTCCTGCGTGAAGTGGCTGGCCGTGACTTTGCTGTGCCTCGCCGTGGGCTTTTGCAGTTTCCAGTAGTTCATTTTATTCAGCTGTTATGAGAGACTTTTCTAGGGTGCTACCTCCCTGCGCGGTGTCTTCTGCCCCTGCTCACCCGTGAGAAGGGCTGACATGCTTCTAGGTCACGCAGATGCATCAGGCCCACCGGTGTCGTTCCACCTGACTCTGAACACCAACACGTGTGTGGACCACTAATTACTGGGGATATTTTGCTGGGTCCAGTGTTTCCTTCCCTTGTTTGGCCTCACCGCTCTCTCAGTCGGTTCCCAGGGTGTTTGTATTAGGTTTGATAACAGAGTTATTTACCCCAGGGCTGAGGAGCAGCTGTGTAGCAATCCCTGCACGCTCTGGTCCGTGTGGGGTTTGCTTTTTACCAAGCAGCCCTCCCTTTGCAGTGACTGTCCAAACCTCCATAAACACATGAGATTCTCTTGGATCTCCCTTGAAAAAATCTTGCCCAAATTGCTTCTGGATCAGGTGTTTACAAGAGTAATTACCAAAATGAAAAAAAAGGCTGTAATGCACCCCCCAAAATTCTCTGTTTTGAGGGGAGAAATTCTAATCCTGCATATATTCAGGACGGCACACAGAATTTGTATGGCAGTTAGCCTGTCATTAGTGTTTTGTTTTCCCAGCAGTGACAGTGGGAGCTGCTTGGGCTCACGGGCCTGGCAGGTAACCTCGACACCGCTGCTCGGCTGCAGTCGTTTGTTCTTGCCGCTCTCGAGACTTCAGCTGAACCCATCATTTTGGTGGCTCTGCAAAGATGCCTGCTGCAGAGCGGCCCCCCTGTGCTGTAATGTAAATGTTAGCCATATGGCAAGGATTAATGCAAATAACGAGGAGAACTGTTGGCATTCTGACACACAAACAAGGGAAAAGAAGAGGTGTTTTTCCACTGAACGCCGCATGAGTGAGGCTGGTACCGGAATGACTGTCCTGCCAGCCCTTTGGAGCAGGTGCAGGGAGCTGTGGGGCAGGCGATACCAGCAACGCTTCATGCCCAAGAGTAGGAGAGGCCAAGCCCGATTTTTAGTTTTTATTTTGTGAGAATCACCAAAGCAAGAGGGCGACGTGCCCTTGGCCAGAACTGCAGCATCTGCTCTCAGCGTTTTACCGCGCTGGTGCTGCAGTGCCAGCGCGGGGAGGTTGGAGGGGGACGGTCCTGTCTGCCCAGCGGGGACCCGTGCCCGCAGGCTGCCACCAGGACTGCATGTGCTGGGGGTGCGGACGGAGCCGCGGGAGGACGGAGTCGGGCGCGCTGGAGC